GATGCCTGAGGATGCAATAAAAAGAATAAATCTTTATTTTGCTGCAAAAATCTATTATGAAAGCAGAAATAAAATTGCAAATTTCAAGGAAAGTGAACAGAGATATCCAGTAGATAAAAGTGACATAGTACAACAATGTTTTAGAATTTTTCTATCCAATCAGCACCTTTTTCCTTAATCTTAAAGATAAAAGGACTTATTCTTTGTATTTTAAAGAGCAACATTTTAAATGACATTAAGAAATCACCACAAACATACAAAGATAAAATGAAGCAAATTTACAGCTTTTAAGTAAATTTGAGAAAAAAAAATCCCTTTATTCAGAAATTCAAATAGCTTATCTGTTTTGAAAGCCAATATGTCAAATATGTAGAAGCAGTGGTAGTATGATAGTATGAACAATAATATCAACAATAATATCAACAATAATATCAACCAAAAATAACAGAAGCTTACTTTTATAGAATCCTTCCTTACAATGTGCCACGAACTGTGCCAAGCATTTAATCACGTCGTTAGATTTAATCTCTATAATACTAATTTATGTATGTGCTTTGCAGTTTTAAAGGTGCTGTCAGAATGTGGCTGTATTGCGTTAATACTCTACTAGCTTCCTCAAGTTAATTGCTGGTGGCGCTGATTGTGGAGTATGGGGACACACCACTTTCTTTCAGGGTTATGGATAACATTTGGAGCACAATGTAATAAAGATGCACTTCTGCTTTAGCTTCCAGAGTTATCTACAGAGCTAACTCTCTTCATACATCTCAAGCTAGTAATAGCCATCATTTCTCAAGCCTTTACCAGGCTAGGCACTTTACCTACATCATTTACTTCTTCCAAAATCCTGCAAATTAAGTACAGTTTTTCTAGATGAGGAAACTCAGCTCTCAGAGGATAAGTGATTTGTCCTTGGGCCTTAAGCCTTAAGTGGCAAAGCCCTATGCCAAACAGCTATTATAAGCTGAGAAGGAAACATGCCACCTTTGAGAAATAAAAATAAAATCCTAAGCTCCCCAACTGACTGAACAGACTCTGTCTTGGCCAAAGGGACTCCAGAGAAACCTTAAAAACTATTATGAATTCCCATCCATAACAGGACGGGAGATCAGACATGCTTTGCTATGCCTCTTCCCTCATTAAGCGCCATTAGGCTTTCTTTCCTGTTTTAAAAAAAAAAAAAAAAAAAAAAAGCCCTAGCCTTTTGGAAACACCTGCTCCACTGCTGATTTACACAACATCTGACCAACTTTCCTCCTGATTATAGACTTCCAGCCATGGACTGGTTCTGGCCAGTTTACAGAGGATGTGCACAGCAGGCCTTTGCCCTTCATTTTACCTTTCAACACACAGAGCCTAATTTTAATGCATTTAAATGTTAAGTCTCCACCCCAAAGTGAACATGGAACATACGTAGTATGCATGTTTCCTTACTATACATGTGTCCACCCTCTTCATGAATACTCATAGCTCCTCCCATAACCTGCTAATACGTATACTTAGCAATTCCACCAATTCTCCATAAATTCCTATCTTATCCCTTCCCTCCCTTGAAGTGCTTGCTTTAGGTCTTCACCAGAGGCTACACTTCCCAGTTCCCAGCCTGTGAGGATGGCCAGCCTGAGGGCTGTAATCCTTTAGAAAAAAATAAAGCTCTCCTTTCCAAATTTATGAACTTAGTGATTGTTAAGTTGGCCCTTCTACCTATTTTCAAAAGAGAAGTGGGAAATTGAGTGTGATTATATTTTATTCTT